CACCTCTCGTGTTTAATTGCCTTTGGAATGGCTGGCATTTGAGTTTAATTGTAAATTATTATGCAATAGGATAAATATACTTGGTTGCCTGAGACACACAACTGTGTCTGACTCAGTTTGAATATGCGTATTGTTTGAAGGATGGCTCTGACAACTCTCACCGACATTCCTCTCTCTTCCCTTTTGGGGAGCTTCTGGTTTCATGTGTACTCTCTCTCTAATTAATGCTGCTGATCGGTTTTACTTCTGACATTGAATACAAGTTACTTTTCCCTTCTTATTGATTCTGATAGCAATTATATGCGATGAGATGATCCATAATCTTTGTACGATGGATATACTACTTTATACTGTAATTCACAATAAGTCACCTCATTTTGTTGTATGTGCATTTAAACTTCAAAGTCATTAATAGCTAAAGCTAAATGGTAGTGATGCTTAAGGCTGGGATATTTCTCTGTTGTTAAGTAGCTTCTTAGGAAGTTTTGAATTTCAGAATAGACTGATGCATTATTGCAGCTGTATGATTGTATTTGGCATTTTGGTATCTGGTTCTGATATTTTTCCATGTGTATTACATTATAATCACTCAATACTGCTATTTGTGCTTAGTTTCACAAGGAAGAAAAGTTTATAAATAATAAAAATTTACAATTAAAATTTTTTTAATTTACAATTAAAATCTACAATTTACAAGTTTCTTCTCTGTAGCTTTGTCAGTATTATTTCCTGAGGTTACCAGAAATGTGGTTGGTGTATTTATACTGGATGCTTCTAGGGAAATTTGGATTTGAAGGATAGCAGCTGACAAATATAAGGTTTTCTGTGAGAGCTGCCTATGCCTTGCTTACAGAAGGGACAGAGTTGTCTCTCTCAGAGTAGTTGGTATAATGGAAAAGCACTCTCATTGCCAGCCTGCTTTGGTCTGTAGACAAACCAGCTATCGTAGTAAATGGAATTGCTCCCTGACACTGGGCAAGGATTTAAATTTTCACTTGTAAATTTGTTTCTTAAAAAGACAATGTCAAGGTAATTTGAAATAATAAAACTGTTTCATGTGAATGCTCAAAGAACTGAAAAAAATCTGTGGCTTTTTCCATAGAAGTGAAACTGAAAGCTGCAGAGTAAGAATATATACAAGTGATCAAAAGCTATAGGGCTTAATATTGGGCAGGTTGTAATTGCCATGGAACAACTTCTCTTTAGGATATATGCTTCTGTCTAGTTTAAGTAAAAAAAAATTAATTTCCAGTTATTAAAAAACAAAAGTTATTTCTAGTAAAAGAGTAAGATACTCTTATAATTGGAGTAGGGTATAAAACATATGTATGTGGATGTATGTATACTTATATTTATGCATATATGTTTATATTTATGTATAATATTAATTCTGATATATGTCTAATAATTCTGTGGTGTGTTACTGAAATTGTGCTATTCTTTTTTCCCCCATCTGAACAGCACCCGGCAATGCCATCTACTTCTTGATGTCTTCAATTCTACAGAACATGAGTTGACCATCAGTGCTAGGAATAACGAAGATTTAATTCTGCATGCTGGGGAATGTCAGCGGTAAGTGCTTTCAGTATTAAAAGGGCTGTGTTTTTAACCCTATTATTTATTTATTTCTATGCAATTGATGATATTTGGGGCCTATATTTCTTTTTAAACATTGTACAAGTGTCAAAGAATGTAAGTTTTACTTTCTTTAAGGTGCGTCACTGTGGTCTAGCAATATTTCGTGTGAATTTATTTTGGCTATGAATCTAGTAGTACTGAAAATAACAAAATACAAAATAGTTGGTTCTGAGGTGTACAGATGGATATAGCATTGACTCATTTTTGTAGAATGTTTTAATATAATTTTCATGCGCTCTGAACGTAGTTCTGATGTTAAGACCTTTTCTCACTAGTTCATTATCCTTTCCCAGTTTTAAATAGTCTTTTCTTTATGTAGTTCCCCAGCCATTTCATCAGTTTTCGTAGGAAGAAAACTGTAGGAAAGAAAAATAGAATTGAAGAAAAAGCAATCACAATCTCTGTGGAAAAAATATTCGAGATTAAGTAGGCTATTATGTGTATTGGTTCTTACAACCCTACTGTGGTGATGTAAAGATCATTTTGTAGCAAACTATAACCATTATTTGCCGTAATATATCTACCTAGGATTCCTACTGCTGGCTGTACCCTAGGTTGCTTGGTTTATCTCCTTCAGATGATCATTACATCTAGATGACACTATTTTAATCTTAAAAAGATGGAACTGTGGAAAAGGAAATGTTTCCATTTGGTCATGGGCTATCTGCACAGTTCTCTTCTTTGGGAGAGCTGTGCTGCAGTCTTAAATCATGAAATTGATAAACTTATTTAAAGAGAGATACTTTAATGTCTTCAAATCTCAGTCTGAATATAAGTTCAAAGTAAAAACACATCAATTGCAAGGCATGCAACTGTCAAAAAGAAGTATAGAATATGTTACAATAGCAGTAAGTTTGGAATGGTTTTTTGCCTTAGTGACTCCGAAAGCACAACTATGAGACAATGCATTGACTCAAACCAAGGCTGAATTTTCTCAATTTTACTTTATCAAGGAATGGACAAAAATATCAGTAACATACAGTGCTTGTTCCTTTTATTTAGAAAGAACTGGGTTATTTTCTTTTTCTAAAAGCAGTCTAAATACTCACCAAAATGTTAATGTTCTTATCCGTACTGTTTTGTAATTCTGTTTTTATGTCTCTTGCTATTGCTCTCTCCCATCATTTTTGTAGTTGGTAAACTCCTTGAAATTTTTCACTCCCAACTTTTGGGACAATATGTAACAAATAGAAATAATGCTATAAATAAGGTGATAAAATTACTTTGCATCTCCTTGATTGAATTACTTTTATTTTCCTATGGATTTAATAATTTAAGTTTAAATATCCTTAAATCGTTATATTGTAATGGATATAAACCCTTTCAATAAGTCTTTTGAAACAGTCATTTGTCAAGGCAGATTGTGTATTTTTTGCAAGTATTTAAACCTTTCAAGGACAGTGATTTTTATTCTTACTACAAAATATTTTATTGTTTTACCCTTGGTTAGAAGTTGCACTGAGTTTGCTATCAGTTCTAAACTCATTTATTATCTATTTCTTGAATGATGAGTGCTTTTAATTGTAACAATGTGTATATAGCTCTGATGTTGCTTAGAGTTTTAATTTTTATTCTGATGGATCTGCTGCAGAAACTTAGGTGGAACATACACTGCACCTTAAAATTAGCATACTCCTCCTAGCAAAGTGCTTTTGTTAATCTTACACGAAAAAAAAAGAAAAAATCAGAAATCTTCCCCCTTTTTTGGAGCAATTGTCAATGGTTGTAGCTCTTCTTTTTTAACATAGGACAACCGTTCTCAGGAGTTTGCATTTGAACCAAGTGTTTTCAGTCCAGATAGACAGTGTTTTTCAACAAAGCTTAATGTTAGATTCTCCTTTTATAATTCTTTCTTATCTTCGGACATTGATTTTTTTGTTAATATCTGATTAATATTTAAAGAGAGGCTCTTCAGTCAAGTTTGGGTTTTTTTCCCCTTCCCTGTACCTTCTTGATTCCGTCCTCATTCTTAATGTTTTCCTCATTCCACTTTTATTTAAATTACAACTTTTTTGCCAGCTTTGGTCACTCTTGCTTCCTTTTGTAATTTACTCTCTCTCCATTCCTCACCATCATTTTGAAATCTCCTGTCCTGACAAAGTGTAAATAGCAGGAAATTGTTTTCTTCGTTCCTGTTCTTATTGCTGGAGACACTAAGTGTTTTCGTATTCTCTGCCTACAGACCTACAAAGAAGGATAATGCTGCATCCTGCTTACTGCTTGCCTCTTTGCTTCCCACTTTGTATGTTTAGAAAGTAAAATAACTTGGAAGTCTCTGATGTGTTGCTTCTCTTTTCTATGTTATGGAGCCCTTGCTGTAGAATATGTTTTTCCCTCCTCTGCTTGGTGAGAGGGAATTTGCAGGGGATTCTTCCATTGCTTTTATGTAAAATGAAGAATGGTGATGGAAGGCTCTGGATACTACACTTATTAAAGCACTCTCTGTAACATATTTGATTTATAACTAAGGTCCACAATTGACTGTGAAGCTGGATATGGGGAGGGTGTAGGAGGTGGAAGCAGAAATGCCAGAAAAAGTCTGGGATCAGCAGCAGATCAGTACTGGCCCTGCCAAATCTTGCTGAGTGCATGCAGGGCAGTCCCTGGTGTCCATCTTACGGTATCCATATTATTTGGTGCATTCCAGCCCCCTCCTGTTCTCTGGCTTATTTGTGTTTATGTAAAATGGATCAAATGCATAGAATATTACGCACCCCTTTTACTTTAAGGTCTGAAGTGAAGTTTGCTTCATTTAACCTAGAGGTAGGGAAATAATAGCTGTTACAATAACACTGCATGCGGGATGAAAAAATGGTATTATACTATTAAGGAAAAGTGACATCCTTTAGGCCATTAAAATACTACCTGGAAAATATGTGCCTTTTTGTACAGTAAGATTATTCTGCTGACCAGTAAAGATTCTTGTTTTAGCTTTCAGAAAACCTTAAGCTTACAATTTACTGTAATTTTTCAGCCATTGATTGGGAATATTTAGTGTGTACATTGTAACTGTTCTCGGATATGTAGGTAAGTGGTGCTTCTGAGAGGTGGCACTCTTTTCCCTCTATTCTAGGACAGAGGAGTACATGCTTTGCTCCCCATTGTTTTGTAGTAAATGATAATTTCGGCTCAGTGATTATTTTGTTCACTCATTTTTCTGTCTTTCATAATTATATTTTCTGTGGACACACAAATGGAAAGGATCAGCCTTTCATTTTTTTCCTGTATCCCAGGATGTTACTTAGTGATCTTCATACTCCCCTTTTTCGTTTCCATAGGATTTGAAATGTTCCTTTGTGTCCCATTTTGGGACAATTAGTGATATATTTTACTTTGAGGCCTTTTGTTCTCAGAAGATCGTGCTGGTGAGGAGAGAACTAAGACTCATTTGGGGGAGAGAAGGAAAAGAAAGGAAATTTGCCCTCCTTCTCCTGTGAGGTAGCATGTTGAAGAAGAGAGGGGCAAGGGTTTTGGAGGGTCCTTTGATGAAATCCTGAAAATATCATTATGTTTCATTACAAAGCTAGATTCAAAATCAAATTATTTTTTGCTGCTTTACGTCTGCAAGAGGTTTTTTAAGCTTTAATATACACAGGGAAATACATTGGACAACTGGTGTCCCGGCAAAAAGTTGTCAGACAAGTTACTCTACTGAAGTTCTGGCTGCAGTGAGGGATGCTGAGTGATGTTTTTATTAACATCTTCAGTTAATAAAAAATATGTTTGATATACCACACCGTAGTGTTGGCATGTTTTGTTAATCTATCCAGTCGAACATCACGTGATGATGGGGGAAACAAGTTCTCCGATACATGCTATTGGAAAGTTCAGCCTTTGGATATTTTGCTGGACTAGCAGAGCCTCCCGTCTGCAAAGCTGTTTCCTGAAGTAGTCAGTTGCCCACTGTTGAAGGGGCTTTGCTATGTATGTAGAAATGTTTTGACTGCAGTCAGCAGTAAAACTGAACTTGTTCATCACGTGCTGAGGCATTCAACAGGTAGTTCTGAAACGGAAGAATATAGCAGACAGCTCTGGGAGGGGAATTGTATTATGTATGTTAACAAAAAAGTGCTGCCACTAGCAGTGATTTTAATTTATTGAAAAACTTAGGTATGGTAATTATTGTGTTTCTTACTTGATTATCAAACCATTAAAATTAAATTTCATGACAACTCTCATTTATGCGTAAATCACTTCATAATTTATGGTAATGGTTGTTATGTCATTATGTGCCCCAGGATATCTCATTTTGTACAACATACCCTGCACTGCCTTTACATTTCTATTCTGTGCACAGTGTGTCTGGCATTCGGGAACGGCAGACATCATCGTCAGTGGAAGATTTATCATGGTGATGGTCTGAGTAGATCAATCCTTTCATCTATCCTTGTAGTGCAACACAACTGAGTTGTTAAAGTCTTCCATGTATATGAGGCTCCGCAGTTGGTGGCTGTAGAATTAACACTTTTAGGCATTAGAGTTTTCAGACTGGCTTGGCCTTTGTGTGAGGACTGTAGGGATCAAAGCTTAGGACTGCGCAGGAGTAGGGCTGGAGTGAGGAGTTAAGAAATGAAGAGCAAACAGGCCCTGGGTAAGAACAAGCTGGAGAAAAAGGGTCAAATGGTGTCAGTCATGGAGGAGCTGTGAAGGATCTCTAATCATTCAGGCATCTGCCTGATGATATCAACCAGAGAGGCTATCTTCTCCACTAGACGCTGGAATGAAATCTAGAATTTTTTGAGAGTTGTAGTTCCTTGAGAAGAGTAAGTAGCCCTGCAGCTTCTGAATAGGTGTATCACTGGTACAGGCCATCATAAATGAGGAAATCCTTTTATTGGTAATTCAAATGACAGAGGCTTTCGTGCAAAATTGACAAGTTGTGACAAGTACTGGTGATCCATGTGAATGCTGATGTGAAATAACATGATGGAATT